TATGCAACATAAAGGAAATGTCAATGGTCCTAATCCAATCCAAGTGCACCCAACCACTAGCGAACCGTGGGAAAAAGTTGCCCTTGATTTGTTAACCAATTTTAAGTGTTCCCTCCAAGGCAACAAACATTTGTGTGTTATGGTAGACCATTTCACCAGATATTGTGAGTTAGTTCCTATTGCAGATAAGACTGCCGAGACAGTAGCTAAAGCGTTTAAAGAACGCATTATCTGCAGGCATACCACCCCTAAGTCCTTAGTAACAGATAATGGAGGTGAATTCTGTAATGAGATTCTTGAAAATTTGTGTACTTTGTACAAGATCTCTAAATCCACCATTGTTCCTCATCATCCTGACAGCAATGGGTTAGCTGAACGAACCAATAAGAAAGTACTTGATGTTTTGAGAGCCACTATCAACCCCAGTAGTGAAACTTGGGATGAAGTCATACCAGATGTTCAATGTGCCATAAATTCTGCTTACAATGCTTCTATAGGTGATACTCCACATTATGCATTGTATGGTGTAGACAAGCATTTACCCTATGAGTTGTTATATTCCACTCCGAAACCCAATTACAACCCTGATGATTTCGTTGCAACTCGTACAAGCATGGCTCAGAGTGTCTTTAGAAGAATCCGTGAAACACTTCATAAATCAACAGCAGAATTTACTAGAGTAACTAATAGCCGTGCTAAGCCATCAAAAGTTAAAGTAGGTTCAAGAGTAATGCTGACAAATTTCAACAAAACATCCGAAATGCCTAAGCTCGATCAAAAGTTGTTGGCCCTTATCGAGTTGTGGAACATATCTCTGGTAATAAGTATAAGGTTAGAGAAATTAGTACTGGTAAGTACAAAGAATTGCATTTAGATCATATGAAATTAGTATGCGATGTTGATGATATTGCTACCCAGACTAATGTGACAGATGCTGAAAATCCTCTTGACTCTGTACCCTCTACCTCAAATACTCAGTCAGATATTCAACCTGAATGTCGTTACTCCTTGCGTACTCAACAAGTAATGAGAAACCCACAAGTATCTTTTGTAGATGCTCGTTCAGATCTCCCTCAGTCAAGGCATGTGTTAGCCATTGCAGAGGAATTCAATCCTCCCAGAGATGATAACCATTCTGCATATGTAAACCTCACCCTCGCAGAATTGGGTTTAAATGTACATAGTCTGTATAGCTAGATGTCCGAGATGAAGGAAATTGTCAACTGTTTGTTATTAACTGATCAGTTTTTCAGAAATTTTTTTTTTCGTGTTCATGTTCCCTCCGTATTCTGAGAACTTTACAGTAATGATCTGAGTGCACCAGATGCCTTTGCTGTTAATTTCACCTTGTGTGTGTATATATATATATATATATATATATATATATATATATAATATATATATATATATATATATATATATATTTATTCTTCCTCAGAATCCATAGAGTGCGTGAATACAGATTGATCGATCAATTCCATCCCATAATGTACAATGATTTGTTCTTATAAGTTGTAATGCATTATGTTAAAACTGATTACGTTAACACCCATTACGTAAAACTCATTTTGTTAACATCCAGTATGATACCATCCATTAGTTCTAAGTTATATATGAATTTGTTATTGTATAGAATCAGCCCAGAACCACCTGCCTGTTCAGCCTATAGCATAGTAGTGTATGTCGGGACGACATACATAACATGACCGAGCTGTCAGCATAGTTGCTGATCCCCTTATATGTGTGTATAGCATATCATAGTACCATCCATGTGTTTATATAGAAGATCCCTAGGCCTGTGACTGTATGACGTCATGGGATGCTCCATGAGTGAGCGGGACAGGCTACCTCGGCCTCAGTCGACGCATAGGCATAGGTGAAGGCAGGACATGGCAGGCTGGGCTCCCTCCATCTCCCATTACCACAGTCTGACAATATAGCATAACCATCCAACAAGTGAGTTTACCTTATCCATCATTCTCCTACCGAACCCCACACAACAGATGTTGTGAGTAGAGCGATGGGTAGGATGCGTGGGTGGAGGGCCGGGGATTTAACGTTGCAGCAGAGGGTGGTGGTAGTAAACACACTTGTGTAAAGTGTGGGGAGTGGCAGAAGTATATCCCCTGAGGTCGTGTGATATTCAGGACTATTTTCTTTCTAGTTCTTGTTCTTGTTTATTTCCTCTTATCTCCATGGGGGAGTGGAACAGAATTCTTCCTCCGTACATCATGTGTGTTGTAAGAGGCAACTAAAATGCCGGGAGCAAGGGGCTAGTAACCACTTCTCCTGTATATATTACTAAATGTAAAAGGAGAAACTTTCGTTTTTCCTTTTGGGCCACCCTGCCTCGGTGGGATACGGCCGGTGTGTTGAAAGAAAGAAAGAGAAAGTTTCAATATCTAGTGTTCTGTTACCATATTAGTTGGTACCCTTCACTATTGTCAAGTAATTACTATCTATATATTGTCATAAGTTTTTATTTATGTTAGTTATTAATTTATAAATGAACAAATGTAAGATGTTGTGACGTCTAGTGCAAGTGGAATTTATTTTTGCACTGGGGAAAACGGGGGGGGGGTATAATTTAATTATGATTGGATCATAACGACATGTACTTGAATGTGTGTACACTGTATTTAGAAGACGGGAAGGATTGTGAGGATTGTCAATATTTGTATTAATTCTTAAGTAAATTTCATGGAATTCTGTGTAATGGCAATGTACACCTATTAGTCGGGTGATAAGTATAATTGAAATATTCATGCTTATTGTAATATTTTTTGATTGAAGAAATGGATAATCTGGTATTTAGCATTGGAGTAATGAGATAAAAAGCATAGGGGATGGGGGTTATTTTGTCAGCACAAAGATGAACCTGCAGTGTGTATTTAGAAAATGGAAAATTTATATTTTCTGTGGCGGAGTCGATAAGGGGTTCTTTTATTATTTTATTTTTAATGTATTATAATGTATTTTTAAATAAAATATAAAAAAAATTGTTACCAGGACACTGAGAGTTATCATTATTATTGTCATGGGAAGCACTAAACCCCCACATGGGTCGTACCGTAGCTTAGGTAATTTGAGGCATTCAGGTACGATTCAAGGAAAGGATAGGATCAATTTGTTGTATCAAGAGCCCTTAGAAGGGCTCAACACGGCGTCAGTTGTGACGGCCCTATGAACTCTCGACAATTACTATTATTATAATCATATCCAAGCACTAAACCCTTAAGGGTCATACATTGCTGCAGATTAGGGTGTGTTAAAGGTTTAAAATGCTTGATCACAGACAAGCGAGGGTGAAGAGTTCCCAACATGTCGACTGACTAATGACCCCCAGACTAGATGACAGGACTATCATTCCTGTGTGCTTGTTAGTAACCACACCTGGTGAAGCGTTCCGAATCAAAAGAATACGAACTACTCTCGTCCTCAGGTAAAACCTGATCACTTCTCATTCTCCACATGTTGTATACTTCATTCAGGTTTAGCGATGCCTCATGAATATATGATATACAACAAGTCCATAGCCTTTGGGGCGGATGCCCAATTTTTCTTAGAATTTTGAAGCAAAAAACTAGTTATGCATTACATAAATACAATAATATTTAGAAAAAATAAAGCCTGATACTGATCATCAAGGATACTAGGCTGTTTATGTTTATAAATTAGGTCTATAGACCTAAGCACTAAATTACTGTTAACCACTCTTATCTTATATTAAAGAATAAGACATACGCAACTGCTATCTTTGTTTCTAAAACATTTTGCCTACACAGTAGGCCTCTTTAGAGGTGAGCAAATATAAAGACATCAGATGCAGTGATCAGTCCACCAACCTTGAAGTAATAGTCTCGAGGTGGTGAGCTGTACATTGTTCGAGACTATGGAGCTGAACATTTACCCAGGCTGAGGGACTGACCACCTTGAAACATCTACTTCAAAGGTAATGAACTGATTACATCTTCACCTCTCCACTGCTGCTGTCTCCATATTTACACACCTTTGTATTCAACTAAAGAAGCCTACTGCACAGACGGGCAAAACGTTTTAGAAATAAGGATAACAGTTGTGTATGTGCCTTATCCAGCTGTCAGTACTGAATGCCATTATTAGCTTACAATAGCTTACACAAGGCATTGTTAGCTTACATAAGGCATAGCCTCCCCTGAAAACCCGCCCAGGAGCATCAGCCTAACCTAACACTTTTCATGCCCATCATTGTTGGTAAGGTTTGTCGGGAAACAGAACAAGTGTTTCCTGACGCGGGTCTTAGTTGATGACTCGACGTTCGAGCTTCTGGTCATCTGACCGAGGCCTTCCGCTGGCTTACCGGCCAACCCTTTTATAAATTATGATCATGGTTATAACCATTTTTTATTATCCCGGTCATATTAACACAGGAAAGAAAATAAAAAACAAAAACAAAGTCTGTATAATAATGTTTAAATATTATATTTTGTATATATAGCATTAAATGTTTGAGCTTTACAATGCTTAATGATTTAATATATACACGAGGGAGTCATAACTGTCAGCCTTATACCTGCACTGCAAACTTCACCTGTTGAATAGAGGGAAGAATTACAATCATAGAAGGAAAATCAAGCCAGTGAACACCTTCGTCAACAAAGTCAGCTGGTGTTGCACATGTGACTCTCTCATCAATTTGTCGATACTTAATAACACTGAATTACCTCAGTTATCTACGTTAATACACACCATTCATATGTGGTAAAAGACACTTGTGTACAGTTCAGGACATGTATTATAGGAAACGTTTCGCCACGAGAGTCTTCAGTCCTTATATAGAGATAACTAAGAAATGAATATATATATATATATATATATATATATATATATATATATATATATATATATATATATATATATATAATATATATATATATATATATATATATATATATATATATATATATATATATATATATATATATATATATATATATATATATATATATATTATTCTTAGTTATCTTCGTATTAGGACTGCAGAAGCCGCTCGTGGCGAAACGTTTCCTATAATACATGTCCTGAACTGTACACAAGTGTCTTTCCACATACTGTCCGTATTACCATAACATTTCTCATATGCATGATTTATAACTAATGTGGAGTTTAGTATTAATGTACCAACAATATGTTAGGTAAAAGGACACAGGTGTAACTAATGCCACAATAAAATGTCACATTAGTTACACTTGTGTCCTTTCGCCTAAAATGGTGAGTTTTTCCTTAAAATATATAGAAACCTGGGTTTTAGAAAACTGCTGGGAGTCGCATCAGAGGATACGACCGAAAACAAATGAGCCACAGAGCTTGGCTTCTCTGGGTTAATAACACTATGGAGTAATGAGACAGATTTCTGCCAACTCTAAGTGTCAGATAAGTTATTATTTATATTAACACATCGGCCGTCTCCCACCAAGATGGGTGACCAGAAAAAGAAAAACTTTCACCATCATTCACTCCATTACTGTCTTGCCAGAGGTGTGCTTTACACTACAGTTACAAAACTGCAACATTAACACCCCTCCTTCAGAGTGCCAGCTACACTGAATATGGACAAAGGCACGTGAACAAAGGAACGTGAACAAAGGCACGTGAACAAAGACACATGGACAAAGACACGTGGACAAAGACACGTGAACAAAGGTATGTGAACAAAGGTACATGAACAAAGGCACGTGAACAAAGACACGTGGACAAAGGTATGTGAGCAAAGGCATACGAACAAAGGCACGTGACCAAAGGCACAAATCTTAAGAACAAGCAAGCCTTTATTTGGATATAGTTCTCATTGCATTTGTGGGTAAGCGTTAAACCCGTAGGGATCATACAGCACCTGAAACATGAGAGGCAGGTGCCATTGACGATGTTTCGCCCTTGAACGATGTCTTGCTTTTGAACTGTTTCACTCTTGAACGATGTTTTGCTCTTGAGCGATGTTTCACTCTTGGACGATGTTTCACCCTTGAACGATGTGTCGCTCTTGAACGATGTTTCGCCCTTGGACAAAGTTTCGCTCTTGAACGATGTTTTGCTCTTCAACGATGTTTCACTCTTGAACGATGTTTCGCCCTTGAACACTGTTTTGCTCTTGAACAATGTTTTGCTCTTCAACGATGTTTCACTCTTGAACGACGTTTCGCTCTAGAACGATGTTTCACTCTTGGACGATGTTTCGCCCTTGAACGATGTTTCACTCTTGAACGATGCTTCACTCCTGAACGATGTTTCACCCTTGAACGATGTTTCACTCTGGACGATGTTTCACTCTTGAACGATATTTCACTCTTGAACGGTGTTTCACTCTTGGACGATGTTCCACTGTTGAACGATGTTTCGCTCTTGAGCGATGTTTCACTCTTAAATGATACATTTGAACAATGTTTCATTCCAATGCGATGGAAATGCTGTCCCTTTCCCTGTCTGCTTGCATCTTTGTCCACACATTTGTCGACGTTTCGCCCTTCAAAACCATCGAAAAAAGGTAACAAAATTATGTATGAGCAACACTACGATATTTTAATCTCATACATAAAAATTGGGAAATATGATAATGATAATTTACTTGGATTATGATGATAATTCCTGGGATATTTTAAATATTTTGGTACAGTATTTGTATGATGTTATGGTACAGTATTTGTATAATGTTATGGTACAGTATATATGATGTTATGGTACAGTATATATGGAGTTGTGTGTACAACATTACTTTCTTTTATGTTATTGACTGTTATACTAAATACCCAGCATTTACAATATTAACTGTTATATTAATACCCAGCATTTATAATATTGACTGTTGTATTAATACCCAGCATTTATAATATTAACTATTGCATTAAATACCCATCATTTATAATATTAACTATTGCATTAAATACCCATCCTCTCAAGGATGGGTTGACGCTATCCTCCGCTTCCTCAGATCAAACCTGCTTCACCCTTACGGGCTTAGCTCTTCTTAAACTAAAATAATAATAATTTATTACCCTTATATTATTTCTACATTATATACACTGTTCTAATACTGAAATTATTTTCATTTTGTGTCCTGGAGGATAATTTTGGCTTTGGGTGGAGGTGGTCGGGGCGGTGGTGGCTTCTTAGGTGATGCTCTGGTGGTGGTGGTGGTGGTGGTGCTGCCGGTGGTGATCCAGTCTTGTCTCTGGCTTCTCTGGTAACCTGATGGTAACCTTCTGGGCAAGCTAGAAGTATCAGTTGTCAAATGCTGACCACTTGTTGCCATACTTGACGGCTGGGGCATCTGTAATGTAGAATTTTTATATAAATTTCAATATTATTATTATTATTATTATTATTATTATTATTATTATTATTATTATTATAAGTCTTGTCTATGTAGCCAGAGTTTATTGTAAACGAAACTGAAAAAACGCGTAGGCTATAGGTTACGTTATTGTATATGTAACTTGCCGGTTCAGAGAACCGACAAGTTGATAGACACATGTGCTCTGCATGAATCGTGTAGGTTTAGCAATTCCTTTTGATTATAATAATAATAGACACTTGTGCAACACTTGGGTACATTTGTGGAAACGTTTCGCTAATCAGTGGCTTCTACAGTCTAATGCAGAGAAGAATGGTTGAAGCTCAGGAGGAGTTTGAGATAATCAGTCCCTCAGCCTGGAGTTGACGCAATCAGTCCATTTATCTTGGTAAGAGTATAGCATGTGCATGAAGAAGGAGCTTATATACTGCAGACAGGTGAGGTGAAGCAGTACAGGCGGTGTCACCTTGGAAAAAATACACATGTGGAAGTAATTCGTCATGACTATAGGTTAGACAAGCAAAGAATGAAATCTTGGGATCTAAGTAGAGGGAATTCTAAGCTTTCCTAACCTATAGTCATGACCTGCTTGTACCTGTGGATTTTTCCATGGTGACACCACCTAGGACTGCGTCACCTCACATGTCTGCAGTATATAAGCTGCTTCTCCACGCATATGCTGTATTCTTTTCAAGATTAAGGGACTGATCACGTCGACTCTTGATCTTCAAACATTCTTCTGTGTATTAGCCTGAGGAACCCACTGATGGGCGAAACGTTCCCACATTAAAGATACCCAAGTGTTGCACAAGTGTTTAATTTATAAAGTTGAAGGTTGAGACGAGTTTTCATAGGTAGAATAACATTATAGAGTAAATGAAGTCTTAGACAGTAATATGATGGGTAAAGTCTGTATTGGTAGAGGCTGTAAACACGTAGGTTAATGCTGCGTTATTAAGGAGATATATGGTCTTAAAAATATAATGAATCAGATTTAAAGTAGGATCTGCCACAGACATTTCTTGCTGCACACACACACTGCTTGTTGCTGCACACAGTGCTTGTTGCTGCACACAGTGTTTGCTGCTGCACACACAGTGCTTGTTGCTGCACACACAGTGCTTGTTACTGCACACAGTGTTTGCTGCTGCACACAGTGCTTGTTACTGCACACGGTGCTTGTTGCTGCACACACACAGTGCTTGTTGCTGCACACAGTGTTTGCTGCTGCACACACACAGTGCTTGTTCCTGCACACAGTGTTTGCTGCTGCACACACAGTGCTTGTTGCTGCACACACAGTGCTTGTTACTGCACACAGTGTTTGCTGCTGCACACAGTGCTTGTTGCTGCACACACAGTGCTTGTTGCTGCACACACAGTGCTTGTTACTGCACACACAGTGCTTGTTGCTGCACACACACAGTGCTTGTTGCTGCACACACAGTGCTTGTTACTGCACACAGTGCTTGTTGCTGCACACAGTGCTTGTTGCTGCACACACAGTGCTTGTTGCTGCACACACAGTGCTTGTTGCTGCACACACACAGTGCTTGTTGCTGCACACACACACAGTGCTTGTTGCTGCACACACACACAGTGCTTGTTGCTGCACACACAGTGCTTGTTACTGTACACAGTGCTTGTTGCTGCACACAGTGCTTGTTGCTGCACACACAGTGCTTGTTACTGCACACACAGTGCTTGTTTCTGCACACACAGTGCTTGTTGCTGTGCACACAATGCTTGTTGCTGCACACACACAGTGCTTGTTGCTGCACACACAGTGCTTGTTGCTGCACACACAGTGCTTGTTGCTGCACACACAGTGCTTGTTGCTGCACACATACAGTGCTTGTTGATGCACACACACACAGTGCTTGTTGCTGTGCACACACAGTGCTTGTTGCTGCACACACACACAGTGCTTGTTGCTGTGCACACAATGCTTGTTGCTGCACACACACAGTGCTTGTTGCTGCACACACAGTGCTTGTTGCTGCACACACAGTGCTTGTTGCTGCACACAGTGCTTGTTGCTGCACAGAGTGCTTGTTGCTGCACACACAGTGCTTGTTGCTGCACACACACAGTGCTTGTTGCTGCACACACACAGTGCTTGTTGCTGCACACACACAGTGCTTGTTGCTGCACACACACAGTGCTTGTTGCTGCACACACACAGTGCTTGTTGCTGCACACACACAGTGCTTGTTGCTGCACACACACACAGTGCTTGTTGCTGTGCACACAATGCTTGTTGCTACACACACACAGTGCTTGTTGCTGTGCACACAATGCTTGTTGCTGCACACACACAGTGCTTGTTGCCGCACACAGTGCTTGTTGCTGCACACACAGTGCTTGTTGCTGCACACACATTGCTTGTTGCTGCACACACACAGTGCTTGTTGCTTGTCACACAGTGCTTGTTGCTGCACACACAGTGCTTGTTGCTGCACACAGTGCTTGTTGCTGCACACAGTGCTTGTTGCTGCACACACACAGTGCTTGTTGCTGCACACACACAGTGCTTGTTGCCGCACACACAGTGCTTGTTGCTGCACACACACAGTGCTTGTTGCTGCACACACAGTGCTTGTTAATGCACACAGTGCTTGTTGCTGTACACACAGTGCTTGTTGCTGCACACACAGTGCTTGTTGCTGCACACACAGTGCTTGTTGCTGTGCACACAATGCTTGTTGCTGCACACACACAATGCTTGTTGCTGCACACACACAGTGCTTGTTGCTGCACACACAGTGCTTGTTGCTGCACACACACAGTGTTGCTGCACACACACTGCTTGTTGCTGCACACACACACAGTGCTTGTTGCTGCACACACACAGTGCTTGTTGCTGCACACACAGTGCTTGTTGCTGCACAAACAGTGCTTGTTGCTGCACACACAGTGTTTGTTGCTGCACACAGTGCTTGTTGCTGCACACACACAGTGCTTGTTGCTGCACACACACACAGTGCTTGTTGCTGTGCACACAATGCTTGTTGCTACACACACACAGTGCTTGTTGCTGTACACACAATGCTTGTTGCTGCACACACACAGTGCTTGTTGCCGCACACAGTGCTTGTTGCTGCACACACAGTGCTTGTTGCTGCACACACAGTGCTTGTTGCTGCACACACACAGTGCTTGTTGCTTGTCACACAGTGCTTGTTGCTGCACACAGTGCTTGTTGCTGCACACAGTGCTTGTTGCTGCACACAGTGCTTGTTGCTGCACACACACAGTGCTTGTTGCTGCACACACACACAGTGCTTGTTGCCGCACACACAGTGCTTGTTGCTGCACACACACAGTGCTTGTTGCTGCACACACACAGTGCTTGCTGCTGCACACAGTGCTTGTTGCTGTACACACAGTGCTTGTTGCTGCACACACAGTGCTTGTGGCTTGCCACACAGTGCTTGTTGCTGCACACACAGTGCTTGTTGCTGCACACACAGTGCTTGTTGCTGTGCACACAATGCTTGTTGCTGCACACACACAATGCTTGTTGCTGCACACACACAGTGCTTGTTGCTGCACACACAGTGCTTGTTGCTGCACACACACAGTGCTTGTTGCTGCACACACACAGTGCTTGTTGCTGCACACACAGTGCTTGTTGCTGCACACACAGTGCTTGTTGCTGCACACACAGTGCTTGTTGCTGCACACAGTGCTTGTTGCTGCACACACACAGTGCTTGTTGCTGCACACACAGTGCTTGTTGCTGCACACACAGTGCTTGTTGCTGCACACACACAGTGCTTGTTGCTGCACACAGTGCTTGTTGCTGCACACACAGTGCTTGCTGCTGCACACACAGTGCTTGTTGCTGCACACACACAGTGCTTGTTGCTGCACACACAGTGCTTGTTGCTGCACACACACAGTACTTGTTGCTGCACACACACAGTGCTTGCTGCACACACAGTACTTGTTGCTGCACACACACAGTACTTGTTGCTGCACACACAGTGCTTGTTGCTGCACACACAGTGCTTGTTGCTGCAAACACACAGTGCTTGTTGCTGCACACACACAGTGCTTGTTGCTGCACACACACAGTGCTTGTTGCTGCACACACAGTGCTTGTTGCTGCACACACAATGTTGCTGCACACACATTGCTTGTTGATGCACACACACAGTGCTTGTTGCTGCACACACAGTGCTTGTTGCTGCACACAGTGCTTGTTGCTGCACACACACAGTGCTTGTTGCTGCACACACACAGTGCTTGTTGCTGCACACACACAGTGCTTGTTGCTGCACACACACAGTGCTTGTTGCTGCACACACAGTGCTTGTTGCTGCACACACAGTGCTTGTTGCTGCACACACCGTGCTTGTTGCTGCACACATAGTGCTTGTTGCTGCACACACACAGTGCTTGTTGCTGCACACACAGTGCTTGTTGCTGCACACACAGTGCTTGTTGCTGCACACATAGTGCTTGTTGCTGCACACACACAGTGCTTGTTGCTGTGCACACAATGCTTGTTGCTGCACACACACAGTGCTTGTTGCTGCAACTACACAGTGCTTGTTGCTGCACACACAGTGCTTGTTGCTGCACACACACACAGTGCTTGTTGCTGCACACACACAGTGCTTGTTGCTGCAAACACACAGTGCTTGTTGTGCTGTGCACACAATGCTTGTTGCTGCACACACACAGTGCATGTTGCTGCACACACACAGTGCTTGTTGCTGCACACACAGTGCTTGTTGCTGTGCACACAATGCTTGTTGCTGCATACACAGTGATTGTTGCTGCACACACAGTGCTTGTTGCTGCACACACAGTGCTTGTTGCTGCACACAACAGTGCTTGTTGTCTGCACACACAGTGCTTGTTGCTGCACACACAATGTTTGTTGCTGCACACACAGTGCTTGTTGCTGCACACTCAAAGTGCTTGTTGCTGCACACACAATGTTTGTTGCTGCACACAACAGTGCT